GGGAGAGGTAAAGAGACACAGAGGATAGAAAAGAAGAAGGAGACAGGAAAAGTCCTGTCTGCCCCAGGGGAACAGCAGGAAAGAGAAAGGGAAAGAGAGCGTAAGTGGATAGGCATCTGTCTTTTAAAGGGGTCCTTTGCACCTGGGCTGACCAGGGTACTGCCTGAATGTATTCTGCCAGGTGACAGTGGCAGGCCAGCATAATGCCTGAGTCCTTAGACAACCACTTTCTAGTTCAATTTTAGGGCCACTTCATAAGAGAAACGCATTACTGCATTACTAATCTGGCCAAGAACCAATAGTTGGAGAGCTTACAGGCCCTAGGGATATACCTACCACTATTATTTTGCTAAACACATTATCAGTCATCTCCCTGCCATGAATTAGTGTCATTCTCAGACTTTATCCAGAAGTTGTTTTTTGTTTTTGTTTTTGTTTTTGTGGAAGATGATGGTGGTTAATGCAGAAAAAGACAATTGGTCAAAGTACATAGTGTGAGTTATGATGGCGCACTCAGCTACAAATGGCACATCTATAACACATCCACTGCAGGTTTAGAGACCATCTTAGAAAAGGAGGCAGAAAGATTGTAAGAGCCTCAAGTCAGAGAGGACAGAGCAAAACTGTCTTCTGATATAATAGAACTGCTACATTCATGAACTCACAGGAGCGGTGGTTACTTGCACAAGACCTACACAAGTACAAGCCAGTCAACATCCTAACACGGAGTGGGAAGGGACTCATGGCCCCCCACCCACCAGCTGAGGAGCTATAGATGGCTCATGGCTTCTAGTAGAAGGAGAGAGGGTCAGTTTTCCAACTCTTGTTGGCTGACCCCACTCCAGAGGATGCTCCCACCTCCAGAAGTACATGGACAAACCAGAACCCATGGGTTCAGTGGGTCACTAAAACATCAAGGTGGAGGCGGCACGGAGGTGCTAGAGGGTCTGGGATGAGTTAAGGTGAAAGCTGGGGGTAATCTGCTCAAAATACATTGTCTAGAATGCTCAAAAAATCAAAAAAAATATGTTTAAATCAATGAAATAAAAATAAAAGTATAGTAAAGAGAAAACCGTATGTGTTTTCTTCAAACAAAGAAAGAAAATTCAAAATTTTAAAATGACTAAGTAAAGTTTAAAAAGTTGAAATCATGAAAATACTAAAATCAGCTGTGGTGGTACAGTCTGTGAGCCTAGTACTTGGGAGGTTGAGGGAGGAGGTATGCCGGGACTCCTTAAAAATAAAAATATCTATTACACATAACAAAACTAATATTTTACTATCTATGATCTCTTGTTAATCAAGAAAATTACTATTGATTCATAAGAAAATGGATCAAATTTACGAAATCACAAGTAAATATACATATACTACTTATCAGCACATAAACTATAAAAACTACAAGATCTAGTACTAAACTCTAGAACTAGCTATTATTTCATAATTAAACAACCATATACATACAAGACAATGTATATCTAGAATTATGTAAAACATGTCGAAGGTACGAACAGTACATAGAATTGTTTGTTTAAAATGAGAATAAAAGGTACAGAATTTTATGAGACCAGAATGTCAAATATCATTTGTAACATTGCAATTTTAGAATAAAAATGATTTTAAAATGGGTTAGAAAATGCCCAAGCAATCAGCTATGGCCTGTGAAAGGCAATCCTTATCCACTTACACACTATTATGTTTCAGGTTTTCTCCCAGGAGTTCATAAAATGAGAAAAAATAGCACGGACCAGAAAGCATCTTTTTGTTTTATGGAGTACTAAACACCTTATTACACTGGCAGCCAACCATTTGCAGAGATCACCCCCATACAATTTCACACTGTAAACATCAAATCTCCTTAACATGCTGTTGGTTATCGGTTCTGTCTTTTACCTGCCACCCATATACCGCCAGATACTTAACATTCAGAACACACATTTCCCACCCACGGGCTAATGCAGCGCACACACATAGCCATGTATCATCAGACCAGTGTCCTCAAGCTGTAGCTTGCGGAGTTGCCACTAAAATGCCAGGGTGAGAACTGAACACAGATGAAATATATCTCATTTTTCCTTCTAAGTGACAGGTTCATATTTTCTGTCATAATTTGCAAAAACTACAAAGCTACTGTAGTACAGATCTTTATACTATTGCAAAAGAAGAAACAAATAAGGCAACAGTAGTCTGAGAAAACAAATTCTAAATCCTTAATGAAACAAAGCAGAAGAGATACAAATAGTAAAGCTCACAGATAATGCTAGATCATATGGCATTTTGCCAACCAAGTGAACATAAAATTACAAATCCAAGTTGTGTCTCATACTGAGAACTGGGATTTTTTTAAAGATTAAAGTTAGATTATGGTTTTAAACAACTAAGTTTATTTTCATTTCAACTCATGTGAAGTAGGATGGATAAGCTAAGGCTGCAGCTCCCTGCCTTGCTTTATGGACATGGGTGGCAGTGGGGTCCTTCAGAGTACTAGAAGCAGCTAGGCTCTGCAGTAATTAGTGCTGTCTTCTTGACAGATCTAACATCTCCCACGAGACATGCCTCTGGCCATGCCTGTGGGAGACTATCATGACCAGGCTAATTGAGGCAGAAAACCAGCCCAAGGTGGGTAGGACCTGTCCCTGGCAGGGATTTTGGACTATCCATGCAACAACAAGCATACATGCTGTCCCATGTGACCAACCATATCCTGAGTAGTGCCTTGAGCAGTGCAGTGTGTTTCAGAACCAACTCCTCCTTCCCTATACATACAACAAAGGAGAACTACAGACAGGTAAGGGCTGGAGGGAGAAGGTCTACAGTACACTACAAACCTTCCAACTTCTTCCTTTTCAAGCCAGTGAGTTGTAATGATAGGCTGACAGAGATGCATACTTTCTACCCTGCACCCTCCCTTTACAAAGACATTTCTGATTTATGACTCTAGCCTACTAGTACTTCAACTGAAAATACAACTTCTATTAGAAAAGGGGACCTGTGTGACTTCTCACCAGCTGATTGCTCCCTCTCCTTAAAATTATTTTACCATGGATGACTATGTACTGGGTCTCTTCTATCAACTTTTCTCTGCCTCATTATGTGAGATTTTTCTCTCCATACAGTCTCTATCAGTTTAATTCACTCTCATGATTTCTAAGCATATGTATTCTGAAAACCTCTTGACCTAAGTCTACTCACAACTGCAAGTTCAATAACCATTTTCAGTTGCTCCAATATCCAGCATTATTGTAGGCATAAACACCAGAAATCACTATCCCTACTCCTTACCTCCAACAGAAAGTAGCTCCCTCCCTGGACTCCACACTCATGGCAATGACCCCACTATTCTCTCTCACACATGATAAAAACCGTAGTATTTTTTGATGTTTCCTTCTCTTTTCCTGATGTTCAGAATACATTGTGGTCCTAAATCCAGAAAATCCCACTTCTACACTTCTGTGCTCCAAATTCCTGTTGACACTACAGTGATTTGGGTTTTCCCCATTTCCTGCAGATAGCTCTCAAGTCTCTCTTCGCTGATTTTTCCTACAGCTTTCCTGCTGTTAATCATTCTACACATGCTTTACTGAAGGCAAGGCCTTTAGTGAGTTCATTCTGGCTATCAAACTGGGCAGGTTCAGTCCTCATCTCCCTTCTCATTGATGCCTCCTACTCACTTATCAATGACACAAACTCCCGGGTTTGAGACAAAGAGCTTTCTTTGTTCCTGAAACATTTCCTCCATTGTGTACCTTATAACTACAAAGTCTGCCCCATCACCACCCTGTCTCCAAAATTATAGCAGCTGTTAAAATGGCAATACAAGACCCACCAAAATTAGGACTTACTCCTCATTAGGAGGAGGCTACTGGGCATTCTAAAATAAAAGGACCATAAGGGCAATCAAACAGAAGAGGGGAAAAGAAAATAAAGAAAAAGATCCTAAATACCATCTGGAGAATGGAAGTATCCAGGGTCACAGACTCAAACTTATGCTTGCTCAATGCTATTCATGCCCATCACCATTGTGATTTTCATTACATCTCATCTTCAGCAATGGTAACTGGCCATGCACCATGTATCAATAGATATTCATGACAACTCAACCAGGTTGATGCTAACCACATTTTAGACACAATGAAGATATGGGGAAAATGTCATCCAAGATCAGATTCATGGCCATTCTGACACACAGATCTTTAGTTAGCAAGAAGCCAAACACAAATATACATAATTTTGTTCCTTTGGCTACTTACAAATTGGGATAATATTTAAACCATCAATAGGAAAAGGCCCTAAAAGACAAATTCCAACTACAAAATCAAAGCTTCTTGGGTGTTTATTGATACTAAAACTGATGCCTGTAACATTGTTTTCCTCTGGTTATAAAGACAAGCAGTTACTATGAGAAGCCATAATATCCAGCAAATAAACAATGTGTTTAAATGTAAAAATAAGTATGTTTTAACTGATGTCAAAGCCTTTTATCCTTATGTTATGGAAAGATATGAATGGGCGTACATCTTCTGCCCAGATTTTGTTCTAAAGTTCACATCAGCAAATAAGGCAAAACTAATTAGTAACAAAATACTTGAAATTACCGAAACCCCTGAAGAATCTCTTGAACTGCTTTTAAAGCACAGTATAACACTGTACCTACTCTCAGAAAGTACCCTGCACAGAGAGACCACCACATCACTCCGCGTGCTGTCTGAGACACTAGCTGATGCTGGAGAGCAGCTCAGAGTCACAGCAACAGACTCACACTCAGATTCTCCTGGCCTCTCTAAGAGGTGCATGAAAACGGCCTGCACCTGAGGACCGGGTGATCATTGGGCACTCTGCTCTTGTGTGTTTTCAAGCTGGTCAGCCCAAAGTTTCTATCTGGAATATGCTCAGAAACAGACTTCTACACGTATCACTCTCAGTGTGAACCACAGATACCTACAATTTTAGGCCCAAATCATCTAACAGCTCCACTGTTGTGAAAGAACGAGCTCTCTTACCGTCCTCTACGGATGCTTCACTGCTGTACCCATCGTACTCTGCAGACAAAGGGCTGTACTTTTGCCTTGTTTCCCAGGCATAGTTCTTTTGTCTGGAGTCCACCAATGGCCACCTGGAAGTGTGAGTTCTGGATAAGGCCTCGTGGTATTTACCCAGAGCTTCATCTTCACTTTCAGAGGATGAACCAGGCTCATCTCTGTCCATGTAGGAATTATCTATTTGGATAACAGTGAAATTATAATTTTAATATGCTTACATATGGCAAATTTATTTAAAACACACACAAACACAAGCACAAATGAAAATGTGTGTGTTTGTGTGGGCATATACACAGGGTGAAACTAACTAGAACAATTCTTAAAATTACTGAAATTCTTGATAATCCCTTAAACCAAATTTAAAGTATATTGTAACATTAATATGTATGTATATGTATGTATATAATGACACAAAATTTCAGCGTTAGAAATTATTTTTATGTAAGAATACCAATTGTTAGAATTTTATGTGTTTATAATATGTGTATATTCTAATTATATAAATAATAAGCTAAGTCACAGGGGTTTGTAACCTTTTTAGGTACAAAGGAAATTATAGTTGCCACACTGCACAATTTTGTAAAGGATCTGTTATATCTGTTATATATTAAATTGGAAGCATTGTCAGTGTTTATGGACTAGAGAAAAACAATGTCATAAGACAAATTTCTGGGTTTTATTTGGCCTATATTTCCATAACTAGCAATGCTTCATGCTAACAGGAAGCAGAGAAATGGGCAGACACAGACACACTGGGAGAGCAACTGGAATAAGTTTTCTACAGAGCAAACTCACAAAACGAATCCAACATCAAACTCTGTGTGGTCTTTGAACATTACATTTCTAGAAACTTGCAAGGTCATTTCTAATTAAGTGATCACAGATACATGTTTGTGAAGCATGTTGATAGCCAAAAAAAAAAAAAAACCCAAAATATATAACCAACATGCCCATCAGTAAGCCTTGGTTAGACAAGTGATGACGCATCCTACCAACATACATACTAGGATTATGCAGCCCTCAGCATGTGTGGGTAAACTTATGTTTCACAAGGGAAGAATACAAGGTGCAATTTTATTTTCATTTAATAAATATTATACTTACTTCAACATGCGGTATATACATTGATATACACCAAACATAACACTACCAGTGAAAAGTTAAATTACTAGTAAAATTTTACTTAATCATACCTAAATTTTAAGAGTTATAATGTTTAAATTCTCTAGGGACAGTAGAGCAGTTAAGAGTTCACGTCTCATGATGTCTGAACAGTGATAGCTAACCCTCCTCAGTTGGTCAGCCACACTTACAGTATGTAGAGAAGACATTCCAACTTCACCACCATCATCATCACTGGCTAGACAGTGCTATGGCAACTAGCCAAAAAGAGTGTGAAACACCAGATTGAGGCCTAAAGGCAGAAGAACGCCGTGAGTCCCTCATGGATGTGCCCTCATGTGGTCCCTTCGCAGGCAAACTTCCTCTATTCCAGAATGCCTTAACACAAAAATCAGAGAGACTTTTCTTTCTTTCTTATGCATGAATCTCCCATGTGAGAGTCTACTACACTGGGTCTAGGAATATGGCAATTCAACTAAATGAAAGGTTAACCTATGGGCCAAAACACCTGCAATTTGTTCATAGGACTAGTAATGTCAGTATTTGACTCTCCCTTGGGATATTTGAGAGTCTTTGGCTTCTTGAGATGCCAGAGTGCTCCTCAATAAAAACAAGGCAAAACAAACAGAAAATTCTGTAGTGCTACTACAACTGTATTTATTCCTGGTAGCCATCCTATTGTCATTTTCTAAATAATCTGTTACTTTATTTCTTCATAAGTAATGAGACTGCCAGAACTAAACAAGGCCACCAAAGCCCAATGAATCACACAGCTGCTATGAGAATGGACTCTACAATGAATGTATCTTTACAAGTTCTATTTGTTTTTAACTAGCCCATCAATCTAGCCTCAGCTTCTCCTGTGCCAGTAAAAACCTACTCTTCAATATACGGCAGACCCCTCTTACAGGTGAATCACATAGCAGAACTGCAAAGTCTTCCATTATTTTCATGGCTACTCAGGTTTTGATATCTTGACAGAATCTAAATTTATAGAAAAACTACAGGTATATATTTTATAAAAAAAAACAAAAGTCAGTGTTTGGAGGGCATTCTCATCCAATCAACAATAAAGAAACGATAGAGGTGTATTAGAAGCAATTATCAGAAGTATGCACTGCAAAGATGCTTTGAAAACTGTCACAAATATTGTAGCTGAACATTGTAAATACTCAGAATCTTAATTCTATACAAAGAACTGGTGAATAAAAATGTATTGCTCATGTACAGTCATTATGAACTCGAGAAGTCTCATGAAAGTTATAAGGTAAAGTAAAATGAATAAATACATATCCACAAGCATGTTACTTAACAATATAAGAGCTATTGTTCCAAGAAACATATAAAATGTTTTACATAGAATGCCATTCGAGTAGATCTGAAAAGCAATGTTATATAACCAACTCAAGACTTAGTCATAAAACAAAATTTTAAATATATGAGTATCACACCAAATAAGTTCTATTTAATTTCTAGAATTAAAATAAATTGTAATTAAAATCAGAAAACAGGTGTGGTGGTTCACACCCAATCTCAGTAAGTGAAGGCTCAGGTAGGAGTATCTCAGGCTTGAGGCCAGCCTGGGTTATATAGTGAGTTTCACGCCAACTGGAGCTGCAAAGTGAAACTCTGCTCATAAGAACACAAAAAAGAAAAAGAAACATCAGAACTGCTGGAAATTGCTCAGATATTTCAGGGATCACAGGCAATACCCGGTGGTATAAAATTAAATTTATTATCTAAAAATAACTGAAAAACTCCTAAATGTCTCTCAAAATATCTCCAAATAAGAAGATCAAATAAATAAACTAAATTAGATAAGACATGGAAAGAAAAGTTGAGAAATTTAAATGTTTTTCTAGTTTTAAAACATCAAGAGAAAATTTAATCACGCAAGCCAACATTAGGAGACCTCACCTTTTTCTGGTAATATCTTAGAATATTTGCCAACTTTATTCTTTGCTGTTCCTCTCTTAGCAGAATTAGCTTCATTTTTCTTTGTTTTTATGTCTCCTTTCACTTTGTAGTACTTCGTTGGATTTATTTTTTCTTTGATTTTCCCGGGAAATTTAATATTACAATTTGTTGATGGAACTGAACCCGTGTATTCCTTCACAATGGATTTCTGTGCCCTGTGTCTGCTGTTTCTCCTGTTATCTTCTGGAGAACTTTTGTTTCCTGAATATTCATTCTCTTTGAATCCATCATGTGTATTATGTTTTTTGGTTTTTGTTAAATGATGAGGATGCTCCAAATCAGTGAGGTGTTTGTTTTTAGAGAAGCTCCCCGATGTCTCTTGCTCTGCTCCCACAGGTACATGCTGCAGTCTGGCTTTGGCCACGCTCTTCTGCTCAGACACGGCGCCTTGTCCACGGGTGTTCAGATGCCTGTCCACTGCTAGAGAACTTACCTCCTCTAAACCATTCTGACCCTTCCTGGAGCCTCCTTCTCCAGCTGTCTCACATCTGCCAGGACCTTTCAGTTCATGACAAGTGGGTGCAGCCCCCATTTTCTGCTTGACAGCTGGTGTCCCATCATTCACGAAGCCTTGCAAAGCAGACCCACCAGCACCTCCAGCTTCTTTGTATTCTGGGGGTGTCCACTCTCCGTCGTGAATATAAAATTCCTGTTCGTGCATTTCCTGTTCTTGCTTTTGTGGAGCTGAAGTGTCACAATAGGTCATTTGCTTTGCTTTGTGCTCTCTATCAGACTGTGTTTTTGGACAAGCAGTGTTTTTGGAAGTATCCCCCAATACTGCACTTTTGGCTTTAGAAGACCCTGCAGCCTCTTCTGCCACGCAGCTCTCCCCCTCTGGGCAAAAGCCATGCATCATACTTGCTACCTGCCCAGCGACTGAGTCAGTTAGCGCATAGCTGACTTCCCCAACCGCGGTGCTCAAATCTTCTACAGCACTACTGATTGTGTCTACCAGGGAGGACACTGAAGGTAGATTCTGCTGAAGACTTTTGAAAAATGCCATTTTTTCAGTTCCTTGTTCCTAAAAGGTTCAATAATGGAATTTTCTCTTCTCAAAATATCAACTACTTTGGAATGTGAATTTAACATTTATGTAAATGTTGCTATCCTTAGAATGATAGGAGTATTTCACACTGTGTCTTTTAATCTTTCTGTAAATGCAATATGCATTGGAAGAAATACGTTGAAGTAAAGACTCCTCCGGAAAAAATAAAAATCAAATCACTTGGTTTAAGTGTAATGACATCTTTTCCCACTCCATAGCTATCAAAACAGCAGGAAGACATTATTTTTCCCTCAAATACTATTGGGTATTTAGTCTATACCTGAAAGAAGAAGTATAAAAAGGATTTTTATTATGTACTTTATTTACTAAGAGTCAGCATAAGGGAATAACCCTATTAACAGACTATCAATATTTCAAATTAAGAACTATATTAGAGGAAAATATATAAACAGTTTTGCAATAAAAACAGGGAGAGCAGGTGAGAGCATCTGCTGGATGGCATTTCCAAGACACTGTGATAGATACATTTAATCTTACTTGATGTGTGGTAGCTTTATAAGGAGAATGCCATTTTACTCTAGCAAGCAAAAGAAAAATAACAGGCTATCTCTAACATCCCAAAGTCACACGACTTGTACAGTAACATTAAAGGGTTGTTTAACATTTTCATTCCCCCCCTGCTTGCAAGTGCAAACAGGGGGTTCCCACTGATGAGAGACAGACCTAATAGAGAAGCAGACACCAGAATCAAGTTGATTACTATTGTGCCAGGCCTAGTGGACCTATACGAAATGTATATGGCAATGTCACTATTCTCTACAATTTTTTCTTTTGGTCTGAAAAAGTCTTTTAAGAAGCTTTAAGATGTTACTTATATTCACAAACAGTAACATTATTGCTGGTATTTTTTTTAAATTCATAGAGGGTGAAAATGTAGCTCACCAACAGAGTACATACATACATAACATATGTAAAGGCCTGGGCTCAATTCCCAGCAAAAAAATTTTTTTACTCAAAACAAAAAGAAAAGTAAGTTGGTAACAGATAATTTAATTTTCTCAGTTTAGTATCTAATATGGTACATACTGATAAATGTAACTTATACCAACAAAAGATCTTTGGAATTTGAAGGCATAAAAGAAAGTCCAGGGAAGCTGAACCAGAGAATTTCAGAAAGCTGTTAGAGGTTTGGTGGGGAGGGAGGGAGGAAGGGAAGGAGGGAAAGAGAGCAGGAGAGAGAGACAGGCAGACAGACAGACAGACAGAGAGAGAGAGAGAGAGAGAGAGAGAGAGAGAGAGAGAGAGAGAGAGAGAGAGAGAGAGAGAGAGAGAGAGAGAGAGAGAGTTTTAAATAGTTCATCTAAATAGTTCACTCTACAAAAATGAGTGGCACATACAGGGATGGAGTGGACTATGAGAAACACAAACCAAGTCAGAACCATATAAAACACCAGAGTTTCTAACACAGACATCAAAATATAATTTTAACACATCTTTATAAATGAGGGGTTGACACCATTTAAGTTATCAGAAGAGAAAGCATTCTCAGCATCTGTATAGGAAAGCCTGGCTCTTCTGCTCTCATTCTCAAAACTCTCAACATTAACACACAGTTTAGTCTTCCTCAACTTCCTCCACTACCATTAACATCAGCCCATATTTGAAACAACAAATGAAAAGCTCTTGTAATGTCTTTGAAAGCTTCTCTAAAGTGGGCAATACAGTATTATAGTTCTCAAGTTTCCTAGGACCTAGGAACACTAGCTCACAATCCCTGTGTGGTTATGGGACAGATCACGGTGTGGAAAAATGCCTCCTCAAGCAGCAGCATCCCTCAGCCAAGAATGAAAAGACAGGTAAGACAAAGGGTCAGGACATCAGGACCCTGATAAGGGGTCTGGGAGAGCTCTCCTGAGAGCCATGTGCACACCGGACCTGGCATTTTTTTCTTAAAGCATGACCTACTCACAGTATAAGCTCAAAACCATACCTCATAAATGAAAAGTAAAAACATTACTTTGCAACAATAGACAACCACCTTTATATAGTAGCTTAACAATCTGGAGGCAACAGGAGACCTGAACATAATTATTTAATGGATATTTCATTCTTACAAAGTAAAGGCTCCAATGTTAAGTTTAGCAGGTGCCAAAGTCAGCCTTCTCACAGAACCTATTAGAACAAGGGACAGCACAGAAAAGAAGTGGAGATGTGATACTTACATATTTTATCTTGTGAATTCTTCCGTGTGTTGTATCCTGAACCAAGATCTGGAAACCCTCCAACATTTTCAAAACAGAACTTCTTATTAATATAGAGAAAAAGGAGCAGCATCAAGACAATAAACACCCCAACCGCTGACAAAAATCCAACTGCCTCTGGAGAGACTAGAGAAAAGAAAGTCACAGCCATCAGCATCTGTTTTGTCTAAGCTGCTAACAAGAAGGAAATTCCCAATATACTCTAGATAGATTGCTAATTCCAATTACTTTTAAAGTGTCATAATTGAAAATAGTCTTAAGAAAACCTACAAAATTTAAAAATAACTTTTCAATTTATTTATTCAACAGCATTCATTCAAAAATTTTCAAAATGTTTCTAAATAAGTATATTGAAAGAATTTTGAAAGAAAAAAGTCTAAAACATAGTAATTAACAAATGAAGTGTTATAAAAATTTTAGCACTGCATTAGAATATATTTTTACATATACAAATTATTAAATTCATGACAGCATGTACTATTATAATCTCTCAAAGCTTTGCTAGACCTTTTATTAAACACTGATTCCCTAATCTGGCATTTACATTCCAGCCTCTCCTTCCAACACACACTTCAGTCAAATGGGTCTAGTCTGCTGTCCCATGATGAACATACAGTTTTGGGTCTGGCTTGTCCTTTCCCTCTTTCCTGGAATAACCATCCCATCTCTCATATAATTCCACTCATACATAATTCCTGAAATATCTACCATACACCATGCACTGTTCTATACGTAGCTCCCGTTTTCTGCACACTTATGATGGAGGCAGTTAGAACCCAGCATCATACAGACTATGACTAGACAAGAACAGGATCTCCACTCAGGAACACCAAGATCCATCACTGAAGGGTCAAATGTGCTTCTTTGGAAACTGTGGCATCTTATAAACTAACAGGACTTAGACAACAGAAGCAGCATGGGATTTTGTTATGATGAGATGCCATACTAAACAGAGTATATATCAAGAGAATATACATCCCCACCCGGGAGACTGTCTTTCACATTTCTATTGCCCGGCACAGCACCAGCCATCGGCAGTTACACAGCGCCATGTTTTTGCGTGCCTAGCATCTTACAAGTATGAGCAGATTGTCCTTAAATCTCAAGCATCCCCTGTGAAGTATGACCTACTTCCCTTCCACTGCTCAAGTAGGATCTACCATGTGATTTCCCCCAAGATTCTTTAAGCAGAGCTCATTTGTTTAAAATGAGGTCACTAACAGGTGAGTGATTAGTGCTTTTATCTGTTAGCTTTTCATTATTCATGAAAGCAAGGCATACCATAAGTAGAACAGAGTATGACATTACAGTCCACCCAAAGCTGGGTCAGGAGTGGCGTTGCAAAGGAGGGGCAATGAAAATGAGGGGCTTGCAGCAGCAAGTACATACAGTATATACCTTGTGACTAACTCAGTTTTCACAAAGATCCACTGACCATCACCATCATAAACTGATCTGTGGAGACGAAGCACGTGCCGAGCCAGAACCCGAAGCTGCTAGAAGCTATTTCTACCAGTGCTCACACTGCCTCTCCTGTCTTCTCAACTCCTCTGCGGTCCTTCCTATCTCCAGCCCCAACTTACTCCTTTTATCATCCTCCTTCCATTCTGTGAAATGCGACCTCGTGGGAAATTCAAGTCTAAACAAGTAAGCATATGAAAAGCAGTGAGCTCCATCGCAGACACAGGAATATAAACTGCTGGGGTGGACAGAAGAAGCCCTTGTAAGAGTCAGAGAAGAAAAAGATGCACTAGAGTGTAGGTGAAAAGACTAAGAAAGGCGAAATGAAAATGGCAGATGGACTAGCGCGGCCACGAATATAACATTCCAAAGCCACTGAAGAGTAACCGCCATGGCTGTTGTATTTACCTCTCTGTCCTCAAGTACCTCACAGCACAGGTGGTTGATAGTAACTGTGTTTGAGAATGGATAAATGAGTGAACAGACGGATGAATAATTGAGAGACTATGTGCTTTGGAAAGATCAAAAGTACATTATGAGAATCCAAAGTAAAGAAGAAAGCAAGCTTCACTTCAAAGAGTCTTGAATATCACCCTACAGATTTTGAACTTGGAGAGCAACAGGGTTATAACAGGCATGTCTTTAAAAAATTACACTGCTTTAAATGAAGAAAAATGGAATAAGACTAGGAACTGAATAGTTTCAAGATTATGATAAGCTCTTAATGAAGCAGTAGCTGTGGTGGCAGAGAAAAGGGGTGAATTCTAATTTTTGTTTGAAGAACATAAGTAATGACACAATCAACAAAATATGGAAAATGAGGATAATTCTAATTCCAAACTGAATGATCAGGTAGCAGTAGTGCCATTAGCCAAAATGAAGAAGATGAGAGGAAAGGCATTGGTTTAACAGCATGGGGGAAGGAGGCATGTAGGAGGATCCCTGGGCCTTGCTAGTTGCTCCACCCAGCCAAATCAGGGAGTCCCAGGTTTAGTATAGACCCTGCTCAAAGAACAAAGTAGGCAACCTGGAGCATGAATGACACTATAGTCAGACCTCTGGCCATCCACATATATGTACACACACACACACACACACACACCTGTTTTTTTAACGCCTGTTATCTCCTAAGGAAAACATTCAAAATCTCTATTTAAAATACACAGTCAACAACTCACACATGCTGATATTATATATTTGAAGAAATAAATTTACTGACTATAGTCAATGAATAAAAATTCACAAATGCACTGTTTCCCATAATTCAAACTTTCCATTTTTAATGTGCCAAACAATAAGCCAAAGATACATTTTGGACAATGCCAGCAACTACTCAACATGTTTTAGCAGGGACTGTCTCACTATTACAGTCTCCTGTAGTGCCCAGTAAACACATTTGACAGGTATCACTATTGAGACCCCAAACGATCTTAAGTGTTTGAGTCTTAATATTGTCACTCAGTAACAGACCTGGATTTGAGTTTGGTCAGGCACTGAGAATCAAGAATCCAAACTCTTAACCCAGCAATGTCCAACCTCTGAGTCATGACCCCTTTGGGAACTGGATGACTTTCTCACAGGGGTTTCGAAAGACCACGAGAAAACACAGATATTTAAATTACAATTCATAACAGCAGCAAAATCACAGTTATGAAGTAGTAATGAAAATAACTTTATGGTTGAGGGTCACCACAACATGAGGAGCTGTATTTTAAAAGGGTTGTAACATTAGGAAGGTTAGAACCACTGTTAATCTGAAATCTCTTTGCTTGACATTTACTAGGCATGGTGGAAATCACTTTCACTCAAAAATAATCAGAAAATTTTAAATGATAATTAAGAACATAACAGTTATTTTAGTCTCAGATTAGATAGCTGAAGCACAGGGCTTGCCAATGCCATAATATCCATGAAGTGGCAGAACCTGGATTTGAACCTGGACATTCTGACTTGGATCCCTTATCTTAAGCACCAGATGGTAGTGCTTCCTAGATGCCAATTTGCATATAAAAGTGGGGGAAAGCTATAGCCCTAGACCATATATATATGTTTTTATAAAGGTCAAAAATAGCAAAGAAGCTCAGCTTTTTCAAAATGAACGTGTAAATTACAAAGCCAAAATCAAGATACATTTTTAAATATTTTAAAATTAACTTTAGAACTATGCTTCTCAAAAGTATATGTTTATATCATGTACCACACTTTTATTAATAAAATAAGTAAGAATTGATGGCATAAGATAGTCTACCAAAGCAGAATATTATTACCATGGTACTTCAACAGAGGTCACAACTAAACTCACTGAGCTATATGATCCTAGAAATTTCTAAAACCCTTAATGCAAAGTAAATATTACAATGTACAATGATTCTGAATGAGGAAAACCCAGAGAACTGACTCTACCCAAGTTGACAATACTTACACTAAACTCCTGTGGACAATTTATCATTGTAGAAACATTCATACACATAGAAAAGGTGATCTTTAAATAGACGCCACCTTTACCAGTTTTTAAGTTGCAGAAATAGTGGTAAAAAGTCAAGCTAATTTCTAGAGATAAGCTGGCCACTCAAAAAGATAAAGGCAAATCCATTTTTACTTAAAAATATTTAATTTCTGTCCTACACTCTACCACAAATGGACATTTTCTAGGTAGTTTCTGAGAAAAAAAACTAAAATGGACATAAAAAGTGTGAGAAAACTAGCTGCTATACAAATGTTTCCAATTTTTCCTTAATTGTCACCACCATCATTCTCTGCTGTAAATAAAACTTGTTTATACCAAAGCAACAAATTCTAACTTTACAGACACATTTTACAAGATTATTCTGCATACTCATTATATTTGCAATGCAAAATTAGACAAATAGTAACCATGGTCTATAATTCCTAAATAAATTAAGAACAGGAGAGGGAAGAACACAACTTACAGCCTACATGACAGGGCATGGATGTGAGCTGTCCACTGAGCATGAAACCCGAGCTCAACTCCGCACCACTGTGTGTGCACACTTTAATAATTGATTTCACAGATGCCATTCTATCTCCTGACCAAAATGTCAACTGGAGAAGAAGACAACTTGCATTTAAAAATAGCTGTTTCCTAAAACTTTTACTATATTTTGATCACTTCTTCCTAATTTGGGTATAAAATAGACAATTATTAGAATATCATGAAATAATTTAGGGCTCGAGAAGATTACTCTAATGTGTTCAAATTACCTTTGTAACATCTCAATTACAAAAATAACACGTCCCTTGAAATGCCTGTATTATGATATAAATGATGCCAGACTGGAAAGGTGACAGATACGTTAAGTCTACCAAATGAATATAACATGTAGGCAACAAAATCTGGACTTTATTTTAAAAAAACTGTAAGCACTAAAAAGAACATTATTACGTAATCCATTGCAAACAACTAAGGACAAGAGAGGTCCAGAGGACATCCCTGGGAGCTCTAAAACCTCAGGGAAAACAATGCCCTCTGCCATAACAGCTACCTGGATAGTGGGTCATCAGGAGCCACTTAATATATTTCACATGTCAAACTATCAGAAGACTGAGCCATAGTTCCTACAAGCACAGTGAAATAAATTGAAATTTC